GATTTCAAAAGGCCAGCCCGTAGTGCATAGTGAGACACTGTCTCAAAAAGATAAAAAAAAAAAAAAAAAAAGGCATTACTATTATCTTTTTGGTACCAGGGATTGAACTCTGGACCTCACACTTGCCAGGCAGGCACTAGGGACATCCCTGGACCCAACAATGTAGTCTTCTTCTTCTTCTTTTTTTTTTTTTTTTGGTGGAAGCAGGGATTGAACTCAGGCCCCTGCGCTTGCCAGGGAAGCACTTATTCCACTGAGCCATCTCCCTGGCCCCCAACAATGTATTATTCTGAGATAATGTTTCACTAAATTGTCTAGGCTGGCCCCAAATTTGAGATCGTCCTCCTGCCTCAGCCGTTCAAGCAGCTGGTATCACAGGTATACATCACCACACCCTGCGTGACTGGGGTACTAAGGATTAAGGAAGCTGCTAGCAAAGGCTGCCAGGGCCATCTCCTGCTCTCCCCACACCCAAGTGCCACAGTGTGATGAGGACAGCGGATGATGCTGCGTGAGCTCCATGAAAATCTCCTCGTCCTTGACCACTACCAGGGCACACAGGGGCGGGCTGTGGTGCCTTCAGGGTTTGCCAATCCCCTATCTGGACACACAGGTGAGCCAACCTGGGTCTGGGACACTGTACGGGAAAGCTGAGCCTCACATCATCCATAGCCACTAGATCGTAGACCTACATGCGAAAGCTGAAAGAGGCAGACTTCTAGAAAAAGCAGGAGAGTATCTTTACAACTGTGGGACACGTAGAGATTTCATATGTAGGCACAGAAACACTAACTGTGCAAAGGGAAAGATTCATAAATTCATTAAAATTAAGAATTTTAATTCTTAATTAAAGAACCCTGCCTTGCAACTGCAGTGTCCTGAGTTCAATCCCTGGTACCACAAAAAAAAAAAAAAAAAAAAAAAGGAATTTATGTCCGTTAAAAGGTACCACTCACAGGGCTGGTGAGATGGCTCAGTGGTCTAAAGCACCTACTTAGAACAAGCTTAGCAAATCACAGGGAGCATGGTTCAATCCCCCAGCACCACATGCCAGCCAGCCCCACCCCCTGGTGGGCTGAGCTGGCCACACACACACACACACACACATACATTTAAAAAAAAAAAAAAAGGTACCACTCACAGAGTGCAAAGGAAAGCCCAAACGGCAAGTCAGGTAAAATAAGTAAGTGTTTTGTGTCCCAAATGAGAAACGGTTCTTACAGCCAGCAACAGGGGCACACGCCTGTATGGATTTTGTTGTTTGTCTGGTTTTCGTTTGTTCTGAGCCAGGGTTTTACTATGAAGTGCAGACTGCTTGAACTGGCAGTGATCCTCCCGCCTCACCCTCCCAATTTCTGGGATTACAAGTGTGTACAGTCATGCCTGGCACACACATAGCTGTAATTCTAGCACTTAGGAGGATTGCAAGTTTGAAGCCAGCCTGGGTGATACAATGAATTCAGGGCCAGCATGACTACATGGTGAGACTCTTTCTCAAAAAAAGGACTATCTGGGGCCTGGGAGATCGGCTGTCTAACCATCTGCCTAGCAAGTGCAAGGACCCAGGTTCAATCCCTGGTACCCCATGCTGCGCTGGCCCCGTGCTCAGATGACCACCAAAGCCAGGCATGGTGGCACATGCCTGTAATCCCAGTGCTGGGAAGGCTGAGACAGGAGGATCACTATGAGTCTGAGCTGTGTAGTGAGACCCTGTACCAAATAAGTAAATATTTTTTAAAAAGAAGAAGAAGAAAAAAAAAAAAGGAATTCCTACAACTCAGTAAAACAGCATGTTTAGGAAAACGGACAAAAAAATAAAAAATCCCGAGCCAGGGAGTAACACAAACACTCCTTAGATGTAAGATGGGCAAGCCAGGAATGGTGACACACACCTGTAGTCCCAGAACTTAGGAAGCTGATACAGAAGGGTCCCTGTGAGTTAGACTAGCCTGGGCTACACAGTGAGCTGTGTGTACTACATAGTAAGACCCTGTCTCAAAAGAAAACCAAAAAAAAAAAAAAAAGGAAGGGCAAATGTGGGGGATGCTGTAGCAAGACACCAGCCTACGTGGGCGGAATACAGACCCGCATCACACTCCTGGGAAGTACGCTGGAATTTTGAGTAGCAGAGTGGCACACACTTGTGATCTCAGCTGCTCAGGAGGCTGAGGCAGGAGGACCGCAAGTTCAAGGGCACCCTGGGGAACTGAGTGAGGCCCTGGGGCGTAGCTCAGAGGTAGAGTGCTTGCCTAGTACACACAAGGCCCAGTCCAGTCCCCAGGACTGAACAACAAAAGAACTGGAGAACTTGCACAGAGGAGCACAGACTATGAAACCCCAAAGCAAGCGTCCGGGCCGTGGTGAACAAGGTCTAGATGGAGAGACAGCCCGGGGCAGGGGCGGGGGGGGGGGGGGGGGGGGCACGCACTGGGATCGGGAAGGAGTGTCCAGGTGGACCCAGGGTGGCTCAGGAACGAAGCCACATGCGGTTCACTGTTTGAAGTTAAATCACAATTTTTAAAAATTTTTTGGTTTTTTGAGACAGGGCTGTGCTATGCAGTCCAGGCTGGCCTTGAACTCTCAGCAATCCTGCCTCGGCCTCCCGAGTCCTGAGATCACAGGCGTGCGTCACCACGCCTAGCTAATTACACCACATTACAGCAGTCTGCTGCCCTGTACTGTGCTTGGCACTGCTCAGACACTGCCCACGGGTCTAGAGGTCTGCACCTGGCCCTCCGCACGAGGGCACCTCACTGCCACCTTGGCCTCAGGAGTCCCTCACACCCTCTCTGCAGGCTCAGCACTTCCCTACCTGGCAGGCCAGCTCCTCAGGCCAAGGGTAGGAAGGGTACCTCAGTGCCTAGTCCCCCTGAGATGCAGCCCCTGGGAAGCCCTGATCCCTGCCCCTCCCAGGACTCACCGATCTGGTCATTGCCATTGCAGGAGGCAAAGTGGAGAGCGGTGCGGCCCTTGTCGTCCGCTGCACAGGGGTCCACACCATCGTCCAGCAGCTGCTGCACTGACGGCACCAAGGGGGAGAGAGGGAGGTGAAGGAGCAGCAGTGTGGGCCCCGTGCAGGCCCTGGGGACAGGCAGTGGCTCAGAGCCCCAGGAGCTGTCCACAGGGAGGAGGAGCCATGCCAGCTGCATCCCCAGAGGCACTGCCAAGGCACAACTGAGGACTACAGGTTCAGAGCACCCAAACTACAGTCCACAGTCCCAGCACACAGGAGGCTGAGGCAGCAGGACTGCTGTGAGCTCAAGCCCATCCTGGCCACACAGTGAGTACAAAAAGGTTTTTTTTTGTTTTTTTTTTTTGGGGGGGGGTTGCTAGCCAAGGCTACACATAGTGAGACCCTGTGTCAAAAACAGAAAAGAAAAAAGAGAGGACAGGACAAGAGGCAGGCAGAAAGACACCCTGCCCCATGGACTCTGGCCTGGTCCCTCCATCTCAGCTTGGATCCACATCCATTCCAGCTGTACACAGCTGGCCCAGTAGTGGCCACACTGATTTGGATCCCCAGAGATAGCCTCTGGAGTAGACAGAACACAGGTTCCAGGGACACATGGACTGGGCCCCAAGCTAAGCTACAAAAGAAATAAAGGAGTCCATTGTCATGAGCTTGGAATGAGGAGCTGGGCCAGGGGCGCCAGGGGAGGGGGCGCCGGGATTGCAGCCTCAAGGCACCACCCCCGGTCAGAATCCAGAGCTGCTGTGACGCCAGTAATAGTCGTGAAATTCCTTCCTTGGAGTCTGCAGGCACCAGAAATGGCAGGCGCTACATGCTAAAGTCCGCAGCTAGCTGAGAGGGGGAACGTCACGCCAAATGTCATCCTGCAATCAGCAGGGTTTCAGCCTCTCTCTGAGACTTGGCTGCACAATGCAGTTCAGGCTGGCCTTGAACTGCCAGCTGTGCACCATACCTGGCTTCTGCCTGGGTTTTTTTGCTCCAGAAATTTATCTCTCCTACTGCACACAGTTTTTTGTGTCTTAGTTTTTGTTTTGGAGGTGGCATCTTCTCCAGCTATGCTGTGTTTTTTTTGTGTCGAGCACAGTGCCCAGGGAGCAAGGCAGGCTGCAGCTGTGCTGTGGAGGGGGAGGGGATCAGAGCAGGGGACACCGGGAAAGTGAAGCGAGAGCTCCAGGTAGTTGCAGCGCACAAGGGCATTTGCCGCAAGAGGACCAGCGTCACCACAGTACAACAGAGTCAGACAGGCCACTCTGGTTCCATGATTGCGCAATTAGAGCCTTCGCAGAAAGCGCTTCGGCTGCCTCTACCGGGAGCCATCGAAACACGCGGCCCCTTTGATGTGACAATTGCGTGGCCGGGAGGTGATCTTGAAAATGAAAATATATGACACGAAATAACTCTGTTTGTGCCTTTGCAGGACATGAGTGCATCCACTGTGGCTATGGGGCGAGGGCTGTTGCTCAGCAGGCACAGGCAAGGCCTTGTTTGTAATCCCCAGCACCAAAAAGAAAAAAAACCTATGGTTTTAATTGGGAAGTAGAATTACAAAGCGCTGTGTGGCTTTTTTTTTTTTTTTTTTTT